AAGTTTTCAGTTTTTTTGTCTTATTTCTTGTTTGTTTCACAATAAAAACATATTTTGCATCTTAAAAGTGGTAGGCATGTTGTGTAAATTAAATGATACAAACCCCCAACAAATCCATTTTAATTCCAGGTTGTAAGGCAACAAAATAGGAAAAATGCCAAGGGGGGTGAATACTTTCGCAAGCCACTGTATTAGCTATAGTTGTAAAAAAGCTATTCAGACTGTCTGCAACCAGGGCTCTGTGCAGGCCAGTCAAGTTCTTCCACATCAATCTCGAGAAACGATTTCTGTATGGACCTCGCTTTGTGCACGGGGGCATTGTAATGCTGAAACAGGAAAGGGTCTTCCCCAAACTGTTGCCACAAAGTTGGAAGCACAGAATCATCTAGAATTTCCCTTCACTGGAAATAAGCGTCCTAGCCCGAACCATGAAAAACCATTATTCCTCCTCCACCAAACTTTACAGTTGGCACTATGCCTTCGGGCAGGTAGCATTCTCCTGGCATCCGCCAAACCCTGATTCATCCGTCGGACTGCCACATGGTGAAGCGTGATTCATCACTCCAGAGAACGCATTTCCACTGCTCCAGAGTCCAATGGCGGCAAGCTTTACACCACTCCAGCCGACGCTTGGCATTGCGCATGGTGATCTTAAGTTTGTGTGTGGCTGCTTGGCCATGGAAACCTATTTCAATAAGCTCCAGACGAACAGTTATTGTGCTGACGTTGCTTCCAGAGGCATTTTGGAATTCGGTGAGTGTTGCAACCAAGGACAGACAATGTTTTTGCGCTACGTGCTTCAGCACTCTGTGGTCCCGTTCTGTGAGCTTGTGTGGCCTACCACTTCTTTTTGAACAGCTTACCTTCTTCTTCTTCTTCTTCTTTTTCTTCTGTGGATTTTATATGGCGGTTGGCAACCAACTTTAAGGTGCATTACCGCCACCAACTGGACTGGAGTGTGGACCAGAGACAGGGAAGGTCTAAATCCTACCCAATATTCTCATCTCCCTAAGGAAATTAAATACATAATTAAATACTACATCCTTTGAAGATTTCCCCAGCATTTCACTTAATCTTGGCTTTCAACCTCATTACTCCTTAAATCTAATAACAATCGCTCCATTCCCCTCCCATATTGCTGGCACTGAAATAGAACATGTTCCACTATCTCCATCTCCTCCTGACAATGATCACACCTCCCAGTCTGATGTTTTCCCACCAATTTCAATGTACTATTGAGCCTTGTGTGTCCCAGTCTCAGCCTTGCAATTAGACTTTCCCGCCTTCTCTCTCGACCTGAGGACCACCCTGCCCCTCTCTTTTCCTGGATCTTATACAGGTGTCTTCCCTTTCTCTCCCTGTTCCACAGCTCTTGCCATTTGTTTTTAACCACTGTTTTTATCAACCCCTTGGCTTCTGCTTTACTGATTGACAATTTCATCTCAACATTAGGATGTTTAAGAGCCTGCTTGGCGAGAACCTCCACCTCCTCATTCCCCTCTACTCCCTCATGAGCTGGTACCCAGAGGAACATCACAAATACCCCCATCTGTCTTACCCTATACAAGCACTGCAAAACCTCATACAATACATCATGTCTGCTCCGAGACACAAACTAATTTAAGCTCATCAGTGCTGCACAGGAGTCAGAGCAGATGACTACCCTGTCTGGCCTCACCTCCTCCACCCACTCTGCAGCCAAGAGTATGGCCAGAAACTCCATTGTGTTAACAGATAAATTATCCTTTGCTCTTTTTGTCACTGCCACCTTAAACTCAGGAACACTAAAAGCTGCACCTGCCTCCCTGATTTAGGGTCCTTAGATCCATCTGTGAATATGTTCAAGAAAGCATAGTGCTGTGTTCTTAAATGTTCATTTACAACTGAATCTACTTCTTCCTCAACAGCTCTTACCCTCTCAAGCAAACCTAGATCTATCACTGGCTGAGGGAGCAACCCATTGAAAACAATGGTTAGTTCCAGTCTACTTCAATGGGTGTGTCTCCCATAGACACCAATGCAATAGCAGCTGCTGGGTCTGGTCTACTTAGTTAATTAACTTTCATTAAACCAGAAAAAAACTGTGAGTGGGGTGTCTCGCTTCCTCTTCCGTCTCTGGCAGAGCTATTTCCTTCTTGGTAAATCTTCATCTAGCTAGGATTATTTCTAAATGGCGCCATCTACGGGAGCGGAGACTGCATTGAACACACTGGATTACATTTACACATACCATTGAAACCTGGTTAGGCACTGTCCATAGTACTGATTTGACTGGTGATGGCTCAACAGACAGGTGGGCTCTGTCCCGCGGTAGGCATACACTTTTATTTAGATTATGGCTTCTAAAACCAATGACTAAGTTGTTTCAAATGTTTAAGTAGGCCTGTAGCCAACACATCTTCATAAGATATTTGACTTTCTAGTTTTCTTTTGTTACCATTAGGCCTATGTCAGGAGAGGGATCAGGCTGGTCTCATAGACTAGACGTAACATAGTAAATGAAAATCTGGGACACTACCTAGCTAATGTTAGCCACAACAAATTGGAATTCGTAACATATCATACCTATTGCATATTCATAACTTATTGAACAAATTGCAATTCGTAACATATCATACGAATTGTAATTCGTAACATATCATACAAAATGGATGATAGACATGCACAAATTAATACATACCATACCAAACATAACATTGACTAATTTGAGCGTCCCGGAATTTCATTTACTATGTTATGTCTACCCCTGAGTCCAGGTTGCAGGTGGAGGGATAGGTGTAGGTTATCAGTCAATGACAAGAAGAAAACTATTTGCTTTGAATATAGGCCTAATGTTTTCTTGGTGTGGGGAAATTGTCTTTATTTTTAAGAATGTGCAGCCAGTCAATTACTTACAGGTGTTAATTTTAATACAGAAATAGCTATTCATTTTTAAACTCAAGCACTGACTCAAGTCAATGATATCTTAGAGGTAGCTAGGAGTGTCCCTCAATACTCTACCAGTGTCAAATGAAACACTTACATTTAGCGAGGCTTTTATAAGTGCTCGTCCACATCCCTGGTTCATTGGAGAGATGCGCAATACATATTTAATAGCACATAATAAATATTTTGTTATATTAGTAAGGCATGGATTACTCCCATGTTACAGAACTAGATTCATTTTTCATGCCAGTATCCCATTGGGGGCTAATTGTGTCTTGGTTTATTGATGAACACGCATATACAGTTGAAGTCGGAAGTTTGCATACACTTAGGTTGGCGTCATTAAAACTCGTTTTTCAACCACTCCACACATTTCTTGTTAACAAACTATAGTTTTGGCAAGTCGGTTAGGACATATACTTTGTGCATGACACAAGTAATTTTTCCAACAATTGTTTACAGACAGATTATTTCACTTATAATTCACTGTATATATACATATATATCTATATTCTCACTGTTGCATTAAAGGCATCTGTAGACATTGTCAGCAACCCTGGTCTTTTTGACTAGAGACAGGTGTGCAATCTTGCTTCAGCCCACCACTGAAACACCAGAAGCCCACTGCTACACCCTGTAGCTGCACACTGTGGCTTCCTAGGGTTAGTATAACAACTGCACTAGCCTACCCCAGATGGTAACCTAGCTACTACCTTTTAAAAGCAAACTACAGTATAGGTGAGCTAGCTTTCAACGATACGCGCTAAAGGGATCAACTGTATATTGTATGTGCAGTTGAAGTCGGAGGTTTACATACACCTTAGCCAAATATATATATATATATATATATATATATATATATATATATATATATATATATATATATATATATATATATATATTTGGTGTTATGGATAATCTCACTGAGTCCATATTACTCACATAGGCCTATGCCTACACAAATGTACACAGGCTTTTACACCCACTACACCCTGAGAGAGAGAGGGAGAGATTGAAATAATGATAGGGCGGGTGCATTCTGTTGCATTCTCCATCATTTGCTTGCATGATAGAAGAGTTTACTCATAGATCACAACTGCATGCCACAGTTAACATCTCTCAGTGTGCAGGACAGGTCCGCTCCCTTGCACTCTGCTCTCACTGCCACCTACCATTGCTAGAAACTACGCATTAAGAAAAAACGCTCGCAAGTCACAACCGACCAATCCAACCGCGAAGCCCCCAGTCCCTAGGAACTTCTCCAGTCTCGGACCTCTCCCCTGCGGATATAAAACCGCGGTTCTGCCAACAGACAGACGCAACGGAACGATGGATATGAACAAGCTAGCCTACTCTTCAACCAGGAACTGAAGCTGGACATTCAACACCGACGAGACCTAGTTCACTAACTCCTCATCTGCGACAGACGTGGTCCATATTTTTCACCGCTGTAGGCTACTGCCTCCTCATCTACGACCGACGTGGTCCATATTATTCACCGCTGTAGGCTATTGCCTTGCACTTTTTTTTTTAGATCGGCTACCTGGACTTGACAAGACAGCACAGCGTCTCCCAACGCCGTCCACTGAGGATGGGGACTTTTATACGGGAAATAGGATCACCTTGGTGAATCAAACTCTATAATTATTTGGTTTATTTTGAACTCTTACTGTGAATTCATGCGCGCCTGACTTGGAGGAGGGAAACCTTGGTGGGTTTTTGCATCCCGCCTTTTGAATGATGATAACCACGCGACAGCAAATCTCACGCTGGTTTTCTGCACGTTCGGGCGACTAGTCGTTAAATAGCTATTACTTTTATTGACAGGTGCATTGGAGATGCCACAGGTGCATGGTAAGGATTTTATATTAAACACATTCCCATAGATCGCATATATTAAGTGCACCAATATGGACGATTACATGTTTACCGGTGCGTGTGTTTTTATTAGCTTGGAGAGATAATTGAATATGTAGGCTATTGTGAGGTGAAGTAATTTACCTGCCTTCTGAACTGCAAACGATTTCAATGTCACTTGGTATTTTTTATAGCCATTAACCGAGACTGTAAGCATAATGGACCTCAAAGTAGAATCCGAAGAAATAGACTGCAACCAGCCGCCCACCGTTGAGGTTTTTGCGCAAAACTCAACCCTGCACGGAATTTCGCACATCTTCACCTATGAGAGGGTCTGCATCAAGCGCTGTCTATGGGTCGTGTTCTTCCTGGGCTCCTTGACTTTCTTACTGTTTGTGTGCGTGGACCGAATACACTTCTACCTGGAGTACCCACACGTCACCAAACTGGACGAGATCTCGACCCCGGTGATGGTGTTCCCCGCTGTCACGTTCTGCAACCTCAACTCGTTCCGCTTCAGTCGCGTGACGCGAAATGACCTGTACCACGCAGGGGAGCTGCTCGCGCTGCTTAACCAGAGGTGCTGTAAACAAGTGACAAAATGTGGATGTGCAGTGGCACTCTATTCCCTATAGAATGCACTAAGTTACTTTTGGCCGGAGCCCTGAAATGATACCCTATTCCCATGTAGCCCTGGCCAAAACTATACAGGGAATAGGGTGCCATTTCAGATGCAGCAAAACATTTCAATAGTAAGGTATGTTGGTGAAAACACCCCCTTAAGGAAAATGTCTATAACACTTCCCACTGGGAAAAAACTGGTTGAATCAACGTCGTTTCCACATCATAATAAATAAATAAATGTGATGACATTGAATCAATGTGGAAAACAAATTGGATTTGCAAAAAGTCATCAATGTAAGGGCATTTCGTCTTTTTTTTCACCCAAATTTTAACCTACATCCAATGATGGGGAAATGTTTAGTTGATTTCTCGTTGAATTCACGTTAGTTGACAACTCAACCAAATTTAAATCTAAACTAGACGTTGAACTGACATCGGTGCCAAGTGGGTTGTGTATTAACCCCACTACAATCAACACTTAGATGTAACACTCACAACACCTTTACACCGAGATTTTAACACTTGTACATTTGTTGTGTATCCTTAGGCATTTTTTGTCATTTTTAAGAGAAATAAGTCGGCAGAATTAATAGTTTTTTTGTTATTTTATAAAAACAGAAACTTTGAAAGGGTGTGTTTTTCCCAAAACATACTCACCATAAATGTACTACTTTATTAAAACTGATGACACCATTTTTCTCTATAAACAAGTGGATGATTTATCTTTAGGCTCCCCTACTGGTATATATATAAAAACAAGTTCATAGATCGAACTTAATTAGATTACATATATAACTTTTTCTAAATAACAAAGTATTACATACATTTACGTCAAAATATTCCATAATCATGTATATATATTTAAAAAAAGTTCATACATTGCATTAGATTGCATACAGTGAGCTCCAAAAGTATTGGGAAAGTGACACATTTTTTGTTGTTTTGGCTCTGTTCTCTAGCACTTTGGATTTGAAATGATACAATGACTATGAGGTTAAAATAAAGACTGTCAGCTTTAATTTGAGGGTATTTTGATTCATATCGGGTGAACCGTTTAGAAATTACAGCATTTTTTGTACATAGTCCCCACATTTTAGGGGAACAAAAGTATTGGGACAAATTCACTTATGTGTATTTAAGTAGTAAAAAGTTATGTATTTGGTCCTATATTCATAGCACGCAATGACTACATCAAGCTTGTGACTACACATTTGTTGGATGCATTTGCTGTTTGTTTTGGTTGTGTTTCAGATAATTTTGTGCCCAATAGAAATGAATGCTAAATAATGTATTGTGTCATTTTGCAGTCACTTTTATTGTAAATAAGAATAGAATATGTTTATAAACACTTCTACATTAATGTGGATGCTACCATGATATTTGTGCATCTGAAACTTTCTCACCCATTATTATTCACGATTCATTCAGGATTATCGGTGGTAGCATCCACATGAATGTAGAAGTGTTTAGAAACATATTCTATTCTTATTTACAATAAAAGTGACTCCAAAATGACACAATACATTATTTACCATTCATTTCTATCGGGCACAAAATAATCTGAAACACAACCAAAACAAACAGCAAATGCATCCAAGAAATTTGTCACAAGCTTGATGTAGTCATTGCATGCTATGAATACTTTAATACACATACAGTATAACTGAATTTGTCCCAATAGTTTTGGTCCCCTAAAATGGGGGAGACTATGTACAGAAAGTGCTGTAATTTCTACACGGTTACGCTAAAATTAAAGCTGACAGTCTGCACTGTATCATTTCAAATCCAAAGTGCTGGAGTACAGCACCAAAACAAATACAAAAATGGTCACTGTCTCAATACTTTTGGAGCTCACTGTATATAACTTTTTCTAAATGACAAAATATGACATACATTTACCTCAACATCTTTTGTTGGAGTGACTTAAGAAATTGAGATGAGACAGATTTTTAGTTGAGCAAGAGTAGTGGGAGCCAGGGAAAGTTTTGGAATAAAATTGGTGACATGAAATGGTTTCTGTGAAAATTACAGGTTGGGGGCAATTTACCCCGGTGGGCGAGAGGGGGGGAATCAAAGAGAGTTCATTAATCATAGTCAGTAGTTACCTCAAGGTTGTTACATCCTCAGGAAGCACTTTGTCACTTTGTCACTCTGATACTTCCATTTCCTTACTGTTGGTGAGTCATGCCAGCCACGCTTAGAGAGAAAGCCCCGATTAGTCTGCCTTGGATGGATGAGCCGAGAGGGCTTTGCCGTCACAAAACCCCAGAGAAGAGCAGCAGCAGCTCACTGAGAGAACGGTATTAACGCCTCGCTCATTGGTCCACAGCTCCATGCAGTCTCCAACTTGGAATGCTGGAAAAGGGCTCTGATTGCTCTGATTAACATGAGCCCAAGTTAAACCATATTTGAAAGAATGCATTTAGTTGACTCTCCAGACCGCCCTCCACAGTCTTTTCTGTATATTGTGATTTTAGTCCCTGCATTCCATCAAACTCTTGGGATTCATTGTTACCCAACTCCAAACCTATAGTTGCTTGATGTTTCCACCAGGAATGACAGACAAGGTATAGTTATCTAAAGTAAAAATTGTTTATATTGTAAACAGTAACAGACCATTTGGCCTAGGTCTGTGAACTAGACATGGGCAGGAAGAGGAGGGGTTGGGGGGGGGGGGGGGGGGGGGGGGGGGGGGGTGTATCATATTTCCATACAGACAGTTTATGAGTAATACCAGCCTGAGACACTGCTATCCCCATGGTGTCAGTTGTCTCTGAAATGTCAGTGCTGATGGCTGATGAGCCAATCACAGCAGCCCTGTCTGACTCTGCATCTCTCCCTGTTTGATTGTTGACGCCTGCTGGACTCAGCGGCAACAGCTGCTGCATTTCATCAACACACACATCATCTGAGGTGGACATACAGGAAGCACACACACACTCACACACACTTAAGTGGTGACTCAAGCAACAGGAAGGACTGTCACTGGACAGAGAGAAAAGACAGCAGAGAGACCGAGAAAGAGAGAGGGAGTGAAGTGACGAGAGATAGAATGAGGGAGCAGATGAGAGATGGCTGAAAAAGAGGGAAAGAAAAACTAGAACTGATAGAATTAGGGATATAAATGAGGAAATCTAAAATAACATTTTGTTATAGGGCCCAGCAGGCGCCAGTGTGTTTGGTGGATTGGTTTTCATTCACGGATAAACGTCCCCATTTCGTCATTTATGACAATTCCACACTGTCACTAAAATTAGCACTTCAGTCACGGTGGTATGGCTGATGAAAGCTTTGTACAATGTACCATCTGGTGTAGGTTTCTGTTTCTTGAGAGATAGAAATAGTACATTTTTGTGAATTAAGCTTTATGAATGAATACATCTCTTTATCCTCCCTCTCAGGGGAAGAAACTTGTGTCACATTATCAACAGGGATCAGTTCCAATGTAAAATCATATGACAACAGACCCAGTATCTGTTTGAAATGGTAGACCAACATTCCATAATCTCGTGGGCACTTGGTCTGAGGCAACATTTATATTGTTATGTTGAACCCATAGTCTTCAGAAAATAAATAACTCGGAAGATGAGATAAAAGGGCAAGCTTTTCATTTCCCAAGAGGGAGAATTTAAGAATAGCTGTTTTCAAAAAGTCTCAGCTTTTTCCAATTAGGGAGTCACTGAGAATGGTTGCTTAGCAGAGAGGGAAATATCCGGCTTTCTTCCACAGTCCCACTACTTTAAAAACACTTGACTTGTTTGGCGAATTAGAGTCGGTGCTTATTCACTTATACCGTCTCCCAAGGTAGGGAGGCGATGTAGTTATTCCCTCATTTGTTAAGCCCTTATCCAGAAATGAAAGCACTTTTGGCGTGAAATCCAATTGAAGGTCTCGCTCTTCTTATCATCTCTCTCTCAGGAGAGTAGAGAGAGAGAGAGATAGATGTATAGATATCTCTGTACGCTCTCAGCTGCTATCTCATCCTCTTCGATCTCTCGCTATCTCTATTCCTCTCTATCTCCTCTCTCTCTCTCTCTCTCTCTTCTCTCTCTTCTAGCTCTCTCTCTCGTCTCTCTCTCTCTCTCCTCTCTATCTCCTCTCTATCCTCTCTCTCTCTCTCTCTCTCTCTCTCTCGCTCTCCTCTCTATCGCCTCTCTCCTCTCTGCTTCTCCTATCTTAGACTCTCTCTCACTCCTCACGTCTCCTTGTCTCTGTCTCCTTGCTCTTCTCTCTCCCCTCTTCCCTTGTCACGTTCAGTGTTTGCCATGGCTGGTCTGGAGAAATGTCTTGTGGCGTGATATTAAAACTCCATCCATACTGGGGGAAAAGTGTCAGCCGGGGCTGATTCTGTCAGGCTTGTGTGTGTTCGGGATTTTATTTAATAAGTGCACACTTGGCAGCTTTGTCCACTGCAACAACATTGGGGAGCAAAGGTCTCAACTCAATTAAGTCCTCCTTTAATCAACGGAAGCCTGAGATGGCACTTAGCAACAGCCAGAGAGAACATCTAAATTGGATCAGATCAGTACCTTCCGAGGTACTGGGCCATGCTCTCACCTCATCGGCATAAGGTGAACCAAAATATGAACCAAAATATGAGAAGTGGAATAGTAGGTAGGCGATTCAATGTTTAATGGCTTTCAGTTTGATGATTCTGGCTTTCTACTGAACTTAGATTACTCAGGGGATTTGATGGCCCCGTAACCCCTAGTGTTTTTATATAGATTGGCCACAGACTTTAATGCAACACACTACTTTTGAGATTTGTTGTGTGTCCATTCACACTGCCAATACCAATTGTTCCTGAGCAGAAATCTGACTGTAAGCCCCTTCTTATGAGCCAAACCTATTTGAAAAAGCCTAAATCCTGCTCATTCTTTTACAGCCCTATAAGGTTTTGACTTGTTTAATGATACCACAGCACGGCATCGCCAAGTCAATATGGAGCGTGCCAGTTGACATTATGCTGCTATGTATTCATGCTGGGCAGCAGGAAAACATCATGGTCAGATTTAGCTGGCCTCTCGGCTGCTCTATTAAAAGATGAACTCCCACTGATAATGTTGTGTGAGTGGGATGACTCTCCCTTCCCACTCTGTGACTCACGCGCAATTATTCTGTGTGTAGATGGGATAAGGACAAACACACACACATGCACACACACACTTGTGCCTGTACGTGTGCACGCTCTCTCACACACACGCATGCATGCACACACGCACGCAAACACACACGCACGCAAACACACAAATACACACATAGGTACATACATGTACAGTACATACTACACCCAGAGTTCAGTAGGCTACACACCCAAAGTAAACATGCGTGAGGGCACTAGGTACACATGATTTATAGACTTGTGGACAAACATGCACACAAACATGTTTTATAAGTAACAAGGTACATTTTATAAGTGGACGTTGTGTGTGAGAGAGCTTTTCATAAAGGGTAGTCTTTCCAGCCAGACTTGCAGCTGAGTTACAGTGAGGGAAAAAAGTTTTTGATCCCCTGCTGATTTTGTACGTTTGCCCACTGACAAAGACATGATCAGTCTATAATTTTAATGGTAGGTTTATTTGAACAGTGAGAGACAGAATAACAACAAAAAAATCCAGAAAAACGCATGTCAAAAATGTTATGAATTGATTTGCATTTTAACGAGGGAAATAAGTATTTGACCCCTCTGCAAAACATGACTTAGTACTTGGTGGCAAAACCCTTGTTGGCAATCACAGAGGTCAGACGTTTCTTGTAGTTGGCCACCAGGTTTGCAAACATCTCAGGAGGGATTTTGTCCCACTCCTCTTTGCAGATCTTCTCCAAGTCATTAAGGTTTCGAGGCTGACGTTTGGCAACTCAAACCTTCAATTCCCTCCACAGATTTTCTATGGGATTAAGGTCTGGAGACTGGCTAGGCCACTCCAGGACCTTAATGTGCTTCTTCTTGAGCCACTCCTTTGTTGCCTTGGCCGTGGGTTTTGGGTCATTGTCATGCTGGAATACCCATCCACGACCCATTTTCAATGCCCTGGCTGAGGGAAGGAGGTTCTCACCCAAGATTTGACGGTACATGGCCCTGTCCATCGTCCCTTTGATGCGGTGAAGTTGTCCTGTCCCCTTAGCAGAAAAACACCCCCAAAGCATAATGTTTCCACCTCCATGTTTGACGGTGGGAAGGTGTTCTTGGGGTCATAGGCAGCATTCCTCCTCCTCCAAACACAGCGAGTTGAGTTGATGCCAAAGAGCTCCATTTTGGTCTCATCTGACCACAACACTTTCACCCAGTTCTCCTCTGAATCATTCAGATGTTCATTGGCAAACTTCAGACGGCCCTGTAAATGTGCTTTCTTGAGCAGGGGGACCTTGCGGGCACTGCAGGATTTCAGTCCTTCACGGCGTAGTGTGTTACCAATTGTTTTCTTGGTGACTATGGTCCCAGCTGCCTTGAGATCATTGACAAGATCCTCCCGTGTAGTTCTGGGCTGGTTCCTCACCGTTCTCATGATCATTGCAACTCCACGAGGTGAGATCTTGCATGGAGCCCCAGGCCGAGGGAGATTGACAGTTATTTTGTGTTTCTTCCATTTGCGAATAATCGCACCAACTGTTGTCACCTTCTCACCAAGCTGCTTGGCGATGGTCTTATAGCCCATTCCAGCCTTGTGTAGGTCTACAATCTTGTCCCTGACATCCTTGGAGAGCTCTTTGGTCTTGGCCATGGTGGAGAGTTTGGAATCTGATTGATTGATTGCTTCTGTGGACAGGTGTCTTTTATACAGGTAACAAACTGAGATTAGGAGCACTCCCTTTAAGAGTGTGCTCCTAATCTCAGCTCGTTACCTGTATAAAAGACACCTGGGAGCCAGAAATCTTTCTGATTGAGAGGGGGTCAAATACTTATTTCCCTCATTAAAATGCAAATCAATTTATAACATTTTTGACATGCGTTTTTCTGGATTTTTTGGTTGTTATTCTGTCTCTCACTGTTCAAATAAACCTACCATTAAAATTATAGACTGATCATTTCTTTGTCAGTGGTCAAACGTACAAAATCAGCAGTGCAACACTTCGAGTAGAGTATGGCTCATGATCAAGCTAGATCCAGGTTACTACAGCTTGGTCCTTGGAAAGTTAATAGAAAGACAGTTTGTTTCTCAAGAGTTGGGAGAATTCATTTTCTATTAATAAACCAAAACTAAAGAGATTCACAATCAATTTATTGAATGTAAGATCACTATGTGCCTGTGTCTAAAAACAGTATTTATTCTTATGCCATACATTCACATCTTATTCTCAAGAGCTCAAGTCTGCCCAAACTGATTGTCATGCTTTCAAATTTTGTTATTGGAATCAAATCATTTTTTTTCTTTTTAGTAATTTAGCAGACGCTCTTATCGAGAGCAATTAGGTTTAAGTGCCTTGCTCAAGGGCACATTGACAGATTTTTCACCTAGTCGGCTCAGGGATTAGAACCAGCGACCTTTCGGTTACTGGCACAACGCTCTTAACCACTAAGCTACCTGCCGCCCCAATTTGTCACATGCTTTGTAAACAACAGGTGTAGACGAACAGTGCAATGCTTACTTACGGGCCCTTCCCAACAATGCAGAGAGAAACAAATATAAATACGGTAATATAAAAATAATAACATGAGGAATAAATACACAATGAGTAACGATAACTTGGCTATATACACGGGGTACCAGTACCGAGTCAATGTGCAGGGGTACGAGGTAATTGAGGTAGATATGTATACAGAACATATAAACGCAACATATAAAGTGTTGGTTCCATGTTTTATGAGCTGAAATAAAAGATCCCAGAAATTAACCATATGCATAAAAAGCTTATTTCTCTCAAATTGTGCACACATTTGTTGACATCCCTGTTAGTGAGCATTTCTCCTTTGCCAAGAAAATCCATCCAACAGACGGGTGTGGTATATCAAGAAACTGATTAAACAGCATGATTGTTACACAGGTGCACCTTGGGCTGGAGACAATAAAAGGCCACAATGCCACAAATGTTGCAAGGTTTGAGGGAGCATGCAGTTGGCATGCTGGCTGCAGGAATGTCCACCAGAGCAGTTGCCAGAGAATTGAACGTTCATTTCTCTACCATAAGCCGTCTCCAACGTCGTTTTAGAGAATTTGGCAGTACGTCCAACCGGCCTCATAACTGCAGACCACGTGCATCCACGCCAGCCCAGGACTTCCACATCCGGCTTCTTCACCTGCGGGATCGTCTGAGACCAGCCACCCTGACAGCTGATGGAACTGAGGAGTATTTCTGTCTGTAATAAAGCCCTGGGAGAAAAACTCATTGTGATTGGCTGAGCCTGGCTCCCCAGTGGGTGGGCCTGGCTCCCCAGTGGGTGGGCCTGGCTCCCCAGTGGGTGGGCCTATGCCCTCCCAGGCCCACCCATGGCTGCGCCCCTGCCCAGTCATGTGAAATCCATAGATTAGGGCCTAGTACATTTTTGTGAATTAAGCTTTATGAATGAATACATCTCCTGATTTCCTTATATGAACTGTAACTCAGTAAAATCATTGAAATTGTTGCATGTTGCATTTATATTTTTGTTCAGTATACATATACATGTAGGTAGGGATAAAGTGCCTAGGCAACAAGATAGATAACAAACAGTAGTAGCAGTGAGTCAAAAGAGTTAGTGCAAAAAGGGTCAATGCAGATAGTCCGGGTAGCTATTGGTTAACTATTTAAATAACTATTTAGCAGTCTTATGGATTGGGGGTAGAAGCTGTTCATGGTCCTGTTGGTTCCACTCTTGCTGCATTGGTACCGCTTGCCGTGCGGTAGCAGAGAGAACAGTCTACGACTTGGTTGGCTGGAGTCTTTCAACATTTTTAGGGCCTTCCTCTGACACCGCCTGGTATAGAGATCTTGAATGGCAGGGAGCTCGGCCCCAGTGATGTACTGTGCCGTCCGCACTACCCTCAGTAGCGCCTTGCAGTTAGATGCCAAGCAGTTGCCATAAAAAACGATGATTCAGCCAGTCAAGATGCTCTCAATTGTGCAGCTGTAGAACTTTTTGAGAATCTGAGGGTCCATGCTTAATCTTTTCAGACTCCTGAGGGGGAATAATCGTTGTCGTGCCTTCTTTACGACTGTGTTGGTGTGTGTGGACCATGATAATTCCTTAGTGATGTGGACACTGAGGAACCTGAAGCTCTTGAACCGCTCCACTACAGCCCCGTCGATGTGGATGGGGGCGTGCTCAGCCTCCGTTTCCTATAGTCCACGATCAGCTCATTTGTCTTGCTGACATTGAAGGAGAGGTTGTTGTTGTCCTGGCATCACACTGGCAGGTCACTGACCTCCTCCCTATAGGCTGTCTCATCGTCGTTGGTGATCAGGCCTACCACCGTTGTGTCATCGGCAAACTTAATGATTGTGTTGGAGTCATGCACGGCCACGCAGTCATGGGTGAACAGGGAGTACATGGGGGGAATAAGCACACACCCCTGAGGGGCCCCGTGTTGAGGGTCATCGTGGCGGATGTGTTGTTGCCTACCCTCACCACCTGGGGTCGGCCCATTAGGAAGTCCAGGATCCAGTTGCAGAGGGAGGTGTTCAGTCCCAGGGTCCTGAGTTTAGTGATGAGCTTTATGGGCACTATGGTGTTGAATGCTGAGCTATAGTCAATGAACAGCATATTCACGTAGGTGTTCCTCTTGTCCAGGTGGGAGAGGGCAGTGTGGAGTGCAATAGAGATTGCATCATCTGTGGATCTGTTGGGGTGGTATGCGAATTGGAGTGAGTCCAGTGTGTCTGGGATGATGGTGTTGATGTGAGCCATGACCAGCCTTTCAAAGCATTTCATGGCTACAGACAGGTTACCATGGCGTTCTTAGGCACAGGGACTATGGTGGTCTGCTTGAAACATGTAGGCATTACAGACTGGGAAGAGGAATAGCAGGAGGAAGGGTATCAATCTACCTCTGTTTCAATATGTTGAAATAGAACGTTTGTGACTAGACTAATAAAACGCCCTCTTTTGGACTCCTTCCTTCTCACTTTCTTTATGTCTCTCCTTCCCTCTCTCTCTCCCTCTCTCTCTCTCTCTCTGTATCTCTGTCTCTCTAGGTATGAGATCAGGGACACCCACTTGGTGGAGGAAAGTGTTCTGGAGACCCTGAAGGTCAAAGCTGACTTCCACAACTTCAAGCCCCGCCCCTTCAACATGCGTGAGTTCTACGACCGCACAGGACATGACATCAAGGATATACTGCTGGCGTGTCAGTTCCGGGGGGGTGAGTGCAGAGCCGAGGACTTCCAAGTGGTAAGTTACCTGAAGGCCTCAGATCATCTTTCAAGACAATAGTTTTATGTACCAAAGAGAGGAAAAACAGAAGCTGCTATTACTGTAGCTCCCAAACACGGTATTATGCAGTATGTGAATCTCCGCTCTGCCTCCCGAGTCTGTTCTGAGTATATTTGACTGCACCTCACAGTCAAAATTGACCTATTTCACAATTAATTTATCTGCTTCCTATTAAATGTTTTGCTGTAATGAGAGTGGTGGCCCTACTGTGCTTTGTGACTCAACCAAGCAGGAATGCCCTCTTTTGATCACTCACCATGCCCACAGCCTCTGTTTGAGAGCTCTGGCAACAAACAGAATCCCTTTTTCGTAATGTGTTTGTTAATTCCTTCAAACAGTGTTTGTACTGTAATCCCTCAAACTCAGGTTGGAAGCATGTCTTTTATTATTTGGGATTTGTCCCACCAAAACAAGAGAGTGGCTGGCACGGCATACTGTGTGGAGCTATCCTCAGAGACTTGGTGTTCAAAGATGCATGTGGGAAGTGGATGTGGAATATGTGGTAGAGAGGGGATGAAAGATGCATGTTGAAGGGAGACATTACATACAGTTGTGGGATACTGTATGTAATGGATGGTAAATGTGGGTGGCAACGTAAATGTTTGTTCTGTATTTACTGCAGCTAGCTACTGCTACTTCAGCATAGGGTTTTACTCTGAAATCTCCCACTGGGTTAAAGTCTCCTCGCCATAAACCTGCTGCGTTGGCTGATGATAGATCCTCTGCCAGTTGCCAATAGTCTCTCAGGCATCTTCCATTCATTTTCAGTCTTGGAGAGTACACTGCCTTTATGCTGTGCTCACTGCCCCATTGTTTAGTTTCGATAAAATTGTGATTTTCTTGGACACCGTGTGGTATCTCAACAGAGGTCAGAGAGGAGAGAGAAAAAGAGAGCTATAGTAGTTTTCCTATAATGATGATTGGCAGAGCATATCAAGTCCCTTATAGCAGCTGTGGCAAGGAATATTTTCTCATTATACTGCACAGTATGCATTCATCTTTGCCAGTTTTACTAATGTGAAATGAACTATGTACTTCTCCAATCATGGCTAACAACACGTAAGTGGTTTAGAGAGGTTGTGATATCTATTATGCAATATTCGTTTATCATATATAATCTTTGCTCATACACTGGAATCTACAGTATCACAACTGTCTCTGAAAATCTTGTTGGGTGTACTGAGTGTCCAAAACATTAGGAACTCCTGCTCTTTTCATGACAGACTGACCAGGTGAATCCAGGTTAAGATATGATCCCTTATTGATGTAACTTGTTAAATCCACTTCAATCAGTGTAGATGAAGGGGAGGATTTTTGAAGCCTTGAGACAATTGAGACATGGATTGTGTATGTGTGCCATTCAGAGGGTGAATGGGCAAGACAAAATATTTTAGAGCCTTTGAACGGGGTATGGTAGTAGGTGCCAGGCGCACCGTTTGAGTGTGCCAAGAACTGTAGCGCTGCTGGGTTTTTCACGCCTCTACGAATTAAGGCTGTTCTGAGGGCAAAAGGTGGTGCAACTCAAAATTAGGAAGGTGTTCCTAATGTTTTGTACACTCAGTGTATTTCAAAAGTTAGATAAGTTTGCATCATAAATACCGAAGGCTCAAAGCAACCTTTTGGATTTTTTATTTAAAAAATAAACATATTTCTTATCACAGGATGGACAATTTTAGGAGCGGAGTGTTTTTTAAAGTATTTTCTCTTTAATACATCTTTAAAATTAAAACCCCCGGCAGGCTGACACTGTCCTGTTCCACTCCCCTCCTGTCCTCGCAGCACTCCTCAGATAGAGTGAGAGAGAACAAGCCAGAGAGAGAGAGATTATCCAAGGCCTGAGGTCATCTGCCTTTGGCCTAAAGAGCAGGAACCTGAACTTCACCAAATAAATCAGAAATACAGACATTGTCATCCTACAAGAAACATGGTATAGAGGAGATGGACCCACTGGTGGCCCTCTAGGTTACAAAGAGCTGGTAGTCCCATCCACCAAACTACCAGGTGTGAAACAGGGAAGGGACTCAGGGGGTATGCTCATGTGGTATAGAGCAGACCTAACTCACTCTATTCAATTATTCAAAATAGGAACATTTTACATTTGGCTAGAAATTCAAAAGGAAATGATCTCAACAGAGAAAAATGTCCTCCTGTGTACTACCTATATCCCCCCACTAGAATCCCCATACTTTAATGAAGACAGCTTCTCCATCCTGGAGGGGGAAATCAATCACTTCCAGGCCCAGGGACATGTACTAGTCTGTGGTGACCTAAATGCCAGAACTGGACAAGAACCTGACACCCTCAGCACACAGGGGGACAAACATATACCTGGAGGTGACAGCATTCCCTCCCCCATATGCCCCCCTAGGCACAACTACATTTACATTTACATTTTAGTCATTTATGACAACATAACCAACAAAAACGGGTCACAACTCCTGCAGCTCTGTCGCATGCTGGGTATGTACATAGTCAATGGTAGGCTTCAAGGAGACTCCTATGGTAGGTACACCTATAGCTCATCTCTTGGCAGTATTACTGTAGGCTACTTTATCACTGACCTCAACCCAGACTCTCTCAGAGCGTTCACAGTCAGCCCACTGACACCCCTATCAGATCACAGCAAAATCACAGTCTACTTGAACAGAGCAATACTCAATCATGAGGCATCAAAGCCAAAGGAACTGAATAATATTAAGATCTGCTATAGATGGAAGGAAAGTCGTGTAGAAACCTACCAAAAAACAATGAGGCAACAACAAATTCAATCCCTTTTAGACAACTTCCTGGACAAAACGTTTCACTGTAATAGTGAAGGTGTAAACTTGGCAGTAGAAAACCTAAACAGTATATTTGACCTCTCAGCTTCCCTATCAAATCTAAAAATGTCTAACAGAAAAGCAAAGAAAATTAACAACAATGACAAATGGTTTGATGAAGAATGCAAAAACCTACGAAAGAAATTGAGAAACCTATCCAAACAAAAACATAGAGACCCAGAAAACCAGAGCCTACGCCTTCACTATGGTGAATCACTAAAACAATACAGAAATACACTACAGAAAAAGAAGGAACATCACGTCAGAAATCAGCTCAATGTAAATTAAGAATCCATAGACTAACCACTTCTGGGAAAATTGGAAAACACTAAACAAACAACAACACGAATAGTTATCTGTCCATAACGGAGATGTATGGGTAAACCAATTCTCCAATGTTTTTGGCCCTATAACAAAGAACAAACAGCAAAAACATATACATGATCAAATACAAATTTTAGAATCAACTATTAAAGACTACCAGAACCCACTGGATTATCCAATTACATTGAGTGAACTACAGGACAAAATACAAACCCTCCAACCCCAAAAGGCCTGTGGTGTTGATGGTATCCTCAATTAAATGATAAAATATACAGACCACAAATTCCAATTGGCTATACTTAAACTCTTTAACATCATCCTTAGCTCTGGCCTCTTCCCCAATATTTGGAACCAAGGACTGACCACCCCAATCCACAAAAGTGGAGACAAATTTGACCCCAATAACTACCGTGGGATATGCGTCAACAGCAACCTTGGGAAAATCCTCTGCATTATCATTAACAGCAGACTTGTACATTTCCTCAGTGAAAACAATGTACTGAGCAAATGTCAAATTTGCTTTTTACCAAATTACTGTACGACAGACCACATGTTCACCCTGCACATCCTAATTGACAAACAAACAAACCAAAACAAAGGCAAAGTCTTCTCATGCATTGTTGATTTCAAAAAATAATTTGACTCAATTTGGCATTAGGGTTTCCTTTACAAATTAATGGAAAGTGGTGATGGGGAGAAAACATACAACATTATAAAATCCATGTACACAAACAACAAGTGTGAGGTTAAAATTGGCAAAAACACACACATTTCTTTCCACAGGGCTGTGGGGTGAGACAGGGATGCAGCTTAAGCCCCACCCTCTTCAACATATATATCAACGAATTGGCGAGGGCACTAGAACAGTCTGCAGCACCCGGCCTCACCCTACTACAATCTGAAGTCAGATGACTACTGTTTGCTGATGATCTGGTGCTTCTGTCCCCAACCAAGGAGGGCCTACAGCAGCACCTAGATCTTCTGCACAGATTCTCAGTAAGACAAAAATAATGGTGTTCCAAAAAAGGTCCAGTTGCCAGGACCACAAATACAAATTCCATCTAGACACCGTTGCCCTAGAGCACACAAAAAACGATACATACCTCGGCCTAAACATCTGCGCCATAGGTAACTTCCACAAAGCTGTGAACGATCTGAGAGACAAGGCAAGAAGGGCCTTCTATGGCATCAAAAGGAACATCAAATTCGACATACTAATTAGGATCTGGCTAAAACTACTTGAATCAGTTATAGAACCCATTGCCCTTTATGGTTGTGAGGTCTGGGGTCTGCTCAGCAACCAATAATTCACAAAGTGGGACAAACACCAAATTGAGACTCTGCATGCAGAATTCTGCAAAAATATCCTCCGTGTACAACGTAAAACACCAAATAATGCATGCAGAGCAGAATTAGGCCGATACCCGCTAATTATCAAAATCCAGAAAATAGCCATTAAATTCTACAACCACCTAAAAGGGAACGATTAACAAACCTTCCTTAACAAAGCCATCACCTACAGAGAGATGAACCTGGAGAAGAGTCCCCTAAGCAAGCTGGTCCTGGGGCTCTGTTCACAAACACAAACAGACCCCACAGAGCCCAAGGACAACAACACAGTTAGACCCAACCAAATCATGAGAAAACTAATATATAATTACTTGACACATTGGAAAGAATTTACAAAAAAACAGAGCAAACTAGAATGCTATTTGGCCCTAAACAGAGAGTACACAGTGGCAGAATACCTGACCACTGTGACTGACCCAAAATTAAGGAAATCTTTGACTATGTACAGACTCAGTGAGCATAGCCTTACTATTGAGAAAGGCCGCCATAGGCAGACCTGGCTCTCAAGAGAAGACAAGCTATGTGCACACTGCCCACAAAATGAGGTGGAAACTGAGCTGCACTTCCTAACTTCCTGCCAAATGTATGACCATATTAGAGACACATACTTCCCTCTGATTACACAGACCCACAAAGAATTAAAAAACAAATCCAATTTGGATAAACTCCCATATATATTGGGTGAAATACCACAGTGTGCAATCACAGCAGCAAGATTGGTGACCTGTTGCCACAAGAAAAGGGCAACCAGTGAAGAACAAACACTATTGTAAATACAAGCTATATTTATGTTTATTATTCCTTTTTGTACTTTAACTATTTGCACATCATTATAACACAATATTTAGACATAATGACATTTGAAATGTCTTTATTATTTTGTGTAATGTTTACTGTAAATGTTTTATTGTTTATTTCACTTTTGATTATTATCTATTTCACTTGCTTTGGCAATGTAAACATATGTTTCCCATGCCAATAAAGCCCTTAAATTGAGAGAGAGAGAGAGAGAGAGAGAGAGGTGTCTGTAATAATCTCTGGCTCTCTGTGTGGCATTATCACATGTAAAGTATATGAAATAATTAAATAAGATGATTTATAATAAAATAAAATAGAATGACAAAGCTTAGACCCATCTTTGCAGTTTTGTGATTATTTTGGCATTTATCTTAACTTTTTTTGCACAAAATGTATCCCCTATAATTATGATCTAAAAAAAAAAACGTTTGAACATCAGATCGGTAGTTACTAACCTCAATTCCGGCTTCGACTTCGACTTCGACTCATCCACCCTTGGCTCTTTATGTAGCTCCGATCCAATCCTCGGGCTAGCCAAGAGGAACGCCAGTGAAAAAGATGCAAGAGATTGGGCGTCCTGTTGAGACTAAGGTGAAGGGAAAACTGGCCACCACTTTCCTCCATTCTATGGTCCAATTGGTAATAAAATGGATGACCTCCGATCGCAGATTTGCTATCAACGGGACTTTCGTAATTGCAATATCATCTGTTTTTCTGAAACATGGCTTTCGGACAAGATATCCCCCATGGCTATCCAACTCAATGGATTCTCCATTCTCTGAGTGGACAGGTCATTGGATTCAGGGAAATCGAGAGTGGGAGGGGTATGTTTATTCATCAACAACAGATGGTGTGAAGACCCTAGCACAGTACAAGTCTCAACCTATTGTTCACCTGTCTTTGAATACCTGATGGTCAAATGCTGACCCTTCTACCTCCAGAGAGAGTTTTCATCTGTTATCTTGACTGCTGTATATATTTCACCTCAGGACAACAACAACAACTTCACTGACATTGTCAAACTCTCCCTGACCCAGTCAGTAATACCTACATGTTTCAAGCAGACCACCATAGTCCCTGTGCCCAAGAACGCCAAGGTAACCTGTCTAAATTACTATCGCCCTGTAGCACTCACATCTGTAGCCATGAAATGCTTTGAAAGGCTGGTTATGGCTCACATCAACACCATCATCCCAGACACCCTGGACCTATTCTAATTTGAATACCGCCCCAACAGATCCACAGATGATGCAATCTCTATTGCACTCCACACTGCCATTTCCCACTTGGACAAAAGGAACACCTACAGTTGAAATCTGAAGTTTACATACACCTTAGCCAAATACATTTAAACTCAGTTTTTCACAATTCCTGACATTTAATCCTAGTAAAAATGCCCTGTCTTAGGTCAGTTAGGATCACCACTTTATTTTAAGAATGTGAAATGTCAGAATAATAGTAGAGAGAATTATTTATTTCAGCTTTTATTTATTTCATCACATTCTCAGAAGTTTACATACACTCAATTAGTATTTGGTAGCATTGCCTTTAAATTGTTTAACTTGGGTCAAACATTTCGGGTAGCCTTCCACAAGCTTCCCACAATAAGTTGGGTGAATTTTGGCCCATTCCTCCTGACAGCGCTGGTGTAACTGAGTCAGGTTTGTAGGCCTCCTTGCTCGCACACGCTTTTTCAGTTCTGCCCACACATTTTCTATAGGATTGAAGTCAGGGCTTTGTGATGGCCACTCCAATACCTTGACTTTGTTGTCCTTAAGCCATTTTGCCACAACTTTGGAAGTATGCCAGTATTGTCCATTTGGAAGACCCATTTGCGAACAAGCTTTAACTTCCTGACTGATGTCTTGAGATGTTGCTTCAATATATCCACATAATTTTCCTTCCTCATGATGCCATCTATTTTGTGAAGTGCACCAGTCCCTCCTGCAGCAAAGCACCCCCACAGCATGATGCTGCCACCCCCGTGCTTCATGGTTGGGATGGTGTTCTTCGGCTTGCAATGTCCACCTTTTTCTTCCAAACATAACGATGTTCATTATGGCCAAACAGTTCTATTTTTGTTTCATTAGACCAGAGGACATTTTTCCAAAAAGTAAGATCTTTGTCACCATGTGCAGTTGCTAACCGTAGTGGCGGTTTTGGAGCAGTGGCTTCTTCCTTGCTGAGCGGCCTTTCAGGTTATGTCGATATAGGACTCGTTTTACTGTGGATATAGATACTTTTGTACCTGTTTCCTCCATCATCTTCACATGGTCCTTTGCTGTTGTTTTGAGATTGATTTGCACTTTTTGCACCAAAGTACGTTCATCTCTAGGAGACAGAACGCGTCTCCTTCCTGAGCGGTATGACGGCTGCGTGGTCCCATGGTGTTTATACTTGTGTACTATTGTTTGTACAGATGAACGTCAGAAGCTTCTAAAGCCATGACATAATTTTCTGGAATTTTCCAAGCTGTTTAAAGGCACAGTCAACTTAGTGTATGTAAACTTCTGACCCACTGGAATTGTGATACAGTGAAATAATCTGTCTGTAAACCATTGTTGGAAAAATTACTTGTGTCATGCACAAAGTAGATGTCCTAACCGACTTGCCAAAACTATAGTTTGTTAACAAGAAATTTGTGGAGTGGTTGAAAAACTAGTTTTAATGACTCCAACCTAAGTGTATGTAAACTTCGATTTCAACTGTATGTGAGAATTATTATAATTTATATTTAACTTGTATTTATTCAGGGGAACCTATTGAGACCAGGGTCTCATTTACAATGGTGCCCTGAGGACAACAATCCAACAAATTCAAAATGATCAATAAAAATACTGAAAACTATAAATTACAAAATCAACACTACAGCTTCAATCACCACAAATGCAAGGATTGACATTAAATCCAAACAGTTGCAATTCTCATTAAATTCATTCAACATTTAAGTCTTAAACCACCCTAGATTCACCAGAAAGTCAAGATGTAGGGAGTTTTGTAGGCTATTCCAAAAATCAGCGGCACTAAAACTGAAGGCGGATTTGCCTTCATCGGTACGTACTAGTGGAACCTTGAGAGTTAAGCATCCCTGTGAACGGGTTTGGTGTCTCATACTTTTACATTTGAATAGTGAAGTGAGGTAGGTCGGAGGCTTGTGTAGTAAAGCTTTGTAAACATGTATTTGTTGTCAATGTTTTGGCGTCAAACTGATGGCAGTTGTGAAAAAGGTCAATGGTTGGAAGAGTTCCAGAGTTAATAGAAAATAATGCCATTGTTGATTAGATGCTTTTTTCATTAATTTTATCTACTAGAAACTCATGGACAATATGGACACAGATATAATAAATAAACACTAAAACTTAAGAACGGGAAGCATAGAAATAGCGCACATAGAACATATCTACTGCTTCTTAGACTTGCTTTCAATAAGCATGACAGATCTATAACTCACATTTCTATGTTAATTTGGTTTGTTCGCCCAAAAAGTTACATATTGCAGCTTTAAGTGATCTCTCAACAATCATTCTCATCATAGCACTTTGGTAATAGTCAGTGACAAATATCATAGGTAATCAGGGATGGGCTTGGTTAAGACCCTGGATGTGAGACCAAATGGTAGCTGTAGATAGATTAATTCTCCAGTAGGAAGTGCTGCCCAGCCTAGTGTTTTTTTTCTGATAGTGGAAGATCTGTCGTTGTTTTAAAGGTACAAATTCAACATATTTTATACAAGGTTTGTCTATGTTGAAATTTGGTTACCATGATGACATAATCCTGTGGTTGAAATTTCACCCTCAAAACAACAGTTTACGTTGATTACTTTTTTCAAATGCAATGTATTTTCCACGTAGATTCCCCGTCACAATACGTTGACAAATTACGTTGAAACCGTTGATTCAACCAGATTGTGCACATGGGGTTGGGGTCAAGTGATATTTTATCATCTCATTATCCAATCATTATGCTCGTTGAGTAAGATGCTATCGAGGATGAGTTTAATGAGATTTTGCCTCGGCCAATAATTGTGAATTATTTATTCCATTATGATATGCCAACCACTGGGATGGAGATTATATATATTGCAGAAAGTGCCTGGGGAGATGGATGCTTGTAGCCTACATTAGTTTTTTATATATAAATATATATATATATATATATATATATATATTATTTTTTATGGGGTAGATCAGCTTTAATAATGTAGATAGATTGTAATTGTCTGCATCACTTCCAATCCCCCATATATTTTTTTATATTTTTCTTGCATATATATATATATATATACAGTGAGGGAAAAAAGTATTTGATCCCCTGCTGATTTTGTACGTTTTCCCACTGACAAAGACATGATCAGTCTATAATTTTAATGGTAGGTTTATTTGAACAGTGAGAGACAGAATAACAACAAAAAAATCCAGAAAAACGCATGTCAAAAATGTTATAAATTGATTTGCATTTTAATGAGGGAAATAAGTATTTGACCCCTCTGCAAAACATGACTTAGTACTTGGTGGCAAAACCCTTGTTGGCAATCACAGAGGTCAGACGTTTCTTGTAGTTGGCCACCAGATTTGCACACATCTCAGGAGGGATTTTGTTCCACTCCTCTTTGCAGATCTTCTCCAGGTCATTAAGGTTTCGAGGCTGACGTTTGGCAACTCAAACCTTCAGCTCCCTCCACATATTTTCTATGGGATTAAGGTCTGGAGACTGGCTAGGCCACTCCAAGACCTTAATGTGCTTCTTCTTGAGCCACTCCTTTGTTGCCTTGGCCGTGTGTTTTGGGTCATTGTCATGCTGGAATACCCATCCACAGCCCATTTTCAATGCCCTGGCTGAGGGAAGGAGGTTCTCACCCAAGATTTGACGGTACATGGCCCCGTCCATCGTCCCTTTGATGCGGTGAAGTTGTCCTGTCCCCTTAGCAGAAAAACACCCCCAAAGCATAATGTTTCCACCTCCATGTTTGACGGTGGGGATGGTGTTCTTGGGGTCATAGGCAGCATTCCTCCTCCTCCAAACACGGCGAGTTGAGTTGATGCAAAGAGCTCGATTTTGGTCTCATCTGACCACAACACTTTCACCCAGTTCTCCTCTGAATCTTTCAGATGTTCATTGGCAAACTTCAGACGGCCCTGTATATGTGCTTTCTTGAGCAGGGGGACCTTGCGGGCACTGCAGGATTTCAGTCCTTCATGGCGTGATGTATTACCAATTGTTTTCTTGGTGACTATGGTCCCAGCTGCCTTGAGATCATTGACAAGATCCTCCCGTGTAGTTCTGGGCTGATTCCTCACCGTTCTCATGATCATTGCAACTCCACGAGGTGAGATCTTGCATGGAGCCCCAGGCCGAGGGAGATTGACAGATATTTTGTGTTTCTTTCATTTGCGAATAATCGCACCAACTGTTGTCCCCTTCTCACCAAGCTGCTTGGCGATGGTCTTGTAGCCCATTCCAGCCTTTTGTAGGTCTACAATCTTGTCCCTGACATCCTTGGAGAGCTCTTTGGTCTTGGCCATGGTGGAGAGTTTGGAATCTGATTAATTGATTGCTTCTGTGGACAGGTGTATTTTATACAGGTAACAAACTGAGATTAGGAGCACTCCCTTTAAGAGTGTGCTCCTAATCTCAGCTCGTTACCTGTATAAAAGACACCTGGGAGCCAGAAATCTTTCTGATTGAGAGGGGGTCAAATACTTATTTCCCTGATTGAAATGCAAATCAATTTATAACATTTTTTACATGCGTTTTTCTGGATTTTTTTGTTGTTATTCTGTCTCTCACTGTTCAAGTAAACCTACCATTAAAATTATAGACTGATCATTTCTTTGTCAGTGGGCAAACGTACAAAATCAGCAGGGGATCAAATACTTTTTTCCCTCAGTGTATATATATACACATACATACATATATATACATACATATCCTTTAAAAATATATATATTTCCCTTTATTACTTTTCAACCCCACCATCCCCTCCCTAATTGGAGTAAACTAGTGAACAACAATGCTTAGGCCTCTACTTCATGCTTATACATACTATATACATTTTATGGACACTTATGGATATTTTGTTTGTTTTTTCCTCCTGAACTTCCTCTGATCATTTTCATGATGTCCATCTGGTATGCTTCTAAATGCCATATCTTTCTAAGTGTGCTCTTTCACAAAAGCTCACAATATATAACCTATATACTTATTATGGACACAGCATGTCTTACACTAGTTATCTTGTTGTTATTAGTTGTTGTTATTAGTCCCATCCTTCAGCTCCATTCAACACCTCCCATCTATCTCTTAACACCATCCATATTGGATTTCTATTTGCCATATATTTTTCAACTGTACTGTGATGTTTTACAAAAGTTCTGAACCTTTCTATTCTCATAGTTTCTACAGTTTGTGAATTGAAAATAAACATCTTTGCTAAAAGTATTATTATATTATTGATCAATTGACTATGACTTTTCAGATCACCCAGTAGTGCTATCTGCAGGGTCAGCTCCATGCAAATATTGCAATCCTTCAGCCATTCCTGGACCTGTGTCCAGAAACAAGCTACAAATGGACAGTACCAAAACAAATGATCTAATGATTCTGTCTCTTCACAGCCAAATCTGCAGAGCTGGGACGATTGTATCCCCCATACAAATAACATTATATTGGTAGCAAGAATTTTATATAATAATTTAAATTGAAGTTTTGAATCCGGCATCGTTTTACGTATCAGTTCATAAACACTGTGCCATGGAATCGGTACGTCAAAAATCTCTTCCCAACTATTTTGCAATCTATATGGGACGGCTGTCAATCTTTTGGTCCTTAAATGAAACTGGTAAACTGTTTTATTTATCACAATTTTCTTTAACCAATTATGTTCTTTAATGCAAGGCCGACAGACAAGTTCCTTACTTTTTCCTCCTTCCACTTTCCTCTTCCATTTTTGCGGTAATGCTGCAATTATTTGGTTGTAGCCTACATTTTAACAACCAATCCAATGACATGTGGAATAGTGGCAGGCCCAATTGCATCTGATTAAAAACTGACTGGCGTTGACCATTAAAAAATACCACTCATTTAATTAAAAGATTAGAAAAACATCCTTCCGAGATTTATTATGATATCGACCTCATTCTTAGATTATTGATTTATTTGAAGGGTTATCTTCAAAGCAATAGCCCTATGTGCATGTCAATGTAAGGAGAGAAATGACTGTCCTCTCGATAGGCACTGAGTACTTTTTGAATCATCCACTTTTAGCTGATTAGCATTATTCAGGTCGGTACCCAAGAATACCCCCTGGGTGCAAGTGAGGTTATTAAGACATAATGATAGTGCGCTACTGCGAGAAGCAACTTGGAGACATATTTGCCTGAGATATTCATATCCACAATCAAAGTGTTTTGAGAAAGAGGGTGAATGGCGAAGCGATTTCCAAATGAATAAGCATAAATGATAAAGAGGCAGCAATTACAGAGTCATTGAGTGAATCCTCCACCCTTGCTGGCTGTCAATGACTGAGGGTTGAAGGGAATGATCAGGGATAATTGGCCTAAACATGGCCGTGGGACAAAGAGATAGAGCTGGTTCAAAAAGCCTCTCAATTGAACTGAAGGAGAGAGTTGAAAGGAGAGTGAGTGAGAGAGAGAGGTGGAGAGAGAGAGAGAGAGACAGAGCGACTGCGAGATAGAATGTAGAGCGAGAGCAGGATCGGAGAGAGAGAGAGAAACTGAGGGAGATACAGTAAGAGAAAGAGAAAGGGTGAGAAAGCATCCTACTCTGGGGAGCTCTGTCTCATGCTCTGACAAGTCTACCCAGGGAACCAAGTTTCAAGTTTCAAGTTGTATTAGTTGTATGTACAGGATACTCATGGTATACACCATCCAACAAAAAGGATCCTTGCAGGATCCTTACGTGCTGGAACCAGGCACAGCAGCTCTGTTATGTTATTGTGGGCTTCTTGTGAGCTCCCTGCTATACTATGTGCCATGACAGCTGTGCTATTACTTCCTTCCTCTGATCACACTGCCTGTCTGTCATGTCAATGCTGGCAACAACCTTCTCCTTGAGAAGTTTTTCGGTGATAGACATATGCAAAACAACAAATCGTCGGCTTCCTCACAAAAACAACAGTTGATCTTTGCTGTGGAAATGATCAAATGTGCTGTTGCCTGTTACATCATCAAATCCTATCTTAATTGGGGTGAAACAAAAGCACTCTGTGTGAAAACGATTAATAATTAACTAAACTAAGTCAGACAACTTATGCTTTGTGACGTGTGTTGAAGAGAGTGGCTGTGAGACTGTCAGTGCATCGTGCACACCCAACACACATCAGATCCTCTTTATTCAATCCAATGTAATTTGGCTGAAGTGGTGTTTCTTTTTACAGCCATCTGTTCGAGGAACCCCTTCAGCCCTGGCCTGAACCTCCCTAAAATAATAACCTGGGATGAATGTAGGTGAATTGGGATCTGTTTTAGGTTTGTCTCTCGTGACAGCCTTAGCTGATTTGGTTCTGGGTGCCAAGATTACCCTTAAATTGATAACAAGAAACATTTTTAAGATTGAGACTAGAGGAACCAGACTCTAGAGAATGAACCCATCCTCCCACTGGCAAGTCGAACAAGAAGGCCCAGGCGCTGCATTCCCCCACGAGCTGCTCTGTTCTGTTCTGTTGTGTTCACACCCAGTGACACATCATCACCAGGCAGGGTCAGAGACCTCCTGGGCATCAGGACCTTGTCACAACTCCTCACATTCAGGCCCTCGAGCAGTGTTTACCCCTTCATTCTCCCTCTCTCTTTTCTCTCTCTTTTTTTCTCTCAACTATTTTTCCTCATCTCTCCTTCATTTCGACCACTGCATTGTGCATCCCCTTCACATCACCCCCATGGGCATGACAATTCTCATTATCTTTTCATGCGCTCTCTCTATCCTCCACTCCTCCGCCCTTTTCCCTCCTTCTCACCTTCCCCTGGCATCCCTCTTCATCCCTTGTTTCGTGAGCGCCAGGTTTTCTAAAAAAGATGTCTTGGCCAAGAGAGGTGAGGTGAACATTTTAGGAGCATGTGAAATCACTTAAGGGGCAGCGCTGAAGGTGATCCCTCATGCCTTTGTGATGAGGCATGCATGCTGTACCAAATGAGTTTCATTCCCTTTGCTGAATACAGTGTATTTAGTGCTGACCAGCTCAGAAGTCTGATCGATGGTGAAGATAACCACTTTACCTAAAGCAGTGTATGAATACTCATAAAGCTTATGAAGGAGAGTAATGAAGTAATGCTATAGGCTAACCAAAGCCCAGATGTCAGCACTGGGCCTGCCAAATAGACCAGGAAAGTAGAGTGCATGTAATTGTATGTTTACATATGCTGACAGGCACACACACACACACACACACACACACACACAAACACTCAGGCATATGCATGCGCACGCAAGCACACACAGACACAGGCACAAACACACACTTGCACACTCACACTCGCACACACACTCGCACACTCGTACACACACACACACCTTCATGACTCAAACTGACCAAGAGGGACAAGAGGAACTGACCCGTTTTTTTAAAATGTTTTATTAGCTTTTCCATTTCTTCACAAAATACAGCAAAATAGATTATAGGCAGCATAGAAAACACATCCAAGGAAGTGCATAAGTTTAAGCTGTATGAAGGCATTTCTCTACCATCGATTCTAAGCTTACCCTTTTATGCCTTAGCACAGTCTGATAACCCTATCCAAACCCCTCATTGAAACCTGCCTCCAGATGAGAGATCAGTGGTGTTGCTCAATAGCGTTCTATTTGCCCAGACCTGAGAGAGAGAGAGAGAGAGAGAGAGAGAGAGAGAGAGAGAGAGAGAGAGAGAGAGAACGGAAAAATGCTCTTTATGAATACATTTCGGATGGGGGTAGAAAAACAGTGTGTCTTAAAATAGCTCTGTGCTGGCTGCACGAATCTGCTCTGCGCATGGTTTATTTATCCGGAGGATTAGTGCAGGTGACTGGATGGCTGGCTTTCTGTGCTGTGGGGGTTTGATGTAGGTTGGCATGGGCCTCTCTGAATCAGACCCATTTGATGCTGCTCTGAGGGACAGGCAGAGACATGAGAGGGGAGCTCTGGTGGTGGAATTTTAACTGGACTGGACTGGACCGTCCTGACCCCAAATGTCAGACAAGGGACCGACCTGTAAACATAATTAGAGATGGTATGTTGAGAATATGCATAGAGATATAGATCTGGCTATGTCTCTCTCTCTCTCTCTTCAGGGAGAATGAGAGAGAGCTCTCTCTGACGTCGTCTCTCAGTCGAGAGAAGAGGAGGAGAGAGAGAGGAGAAGGAGGAGAAGAGAGAGAGAGAGAGAGAGAGAATTGAGGAGAGGAAGAATAATGGGGCAGGTGCTGCAGGTTCTGGTTTATTTAATATACAGTAGAAGCAGCAGGAGGCTTTGAAGTCCATGAGTATTCACTCCATCCTCAGAACATCCTTTGGCAAGGTCGGACATACGGACAACTCAATATTAACCCCATGCACTGTGTGTGTGTGTGTCTGTGTGTGTTTGTGTGTGTGTTTGAGTCGCCAGGTTCGGAAATCTCAAATCAAATTGTCTTTAGCATAGCGTGTCTGTAGCATTTGTCATTGTTGAAGACTGTTTAAACTGTGTATTTAAATGTTTGGCATCCTATCTTAACATAAACTCATACCTATGCAGGCCCTCTGGGTGGAGGGAATGGGGGTTAGGGGAGGCGGAGGGGGTAGGGGACAAGGGAAGGTGAGAAGGGGAACAGAACAGATGGGCAAAGTGAGAGGAGAGAGAGGCTGTAGGCAGTGGAAGTGTCAGACACACAGACACCCAGCATGGAGATGATGCTGATCTAAATTACATAGGGATGAGGGGAAAGAAACAATCATTACTGTAGCCGTTGAGAAGGTTGAAGAGAAAATAAAAGGAAAGATGTAATACACAGTAAGTGTTGAGAGAAAGGAGAAGAAAGAGGCTAGGTTAGATCTAGGCATACAGGGGGATGAGATAGGGAAGAGTTAAAAGAAAAAGAAAGAAATATGTAATCTACAGTAATTGTTGAGAGAAAGGAGGAGGCTATTTGGATAGAGGCAGAGGGCACATGCAGGGACAGAGTAGAGGGATGTAGACTAGAGGATTGGACCAGGAGACAGACTAGAGGGATGTAGACTAGAGGATTGGACCAGAGGACAGAGTAGAGGGATGTAGACTAGGGGATTGGACCAGGAGACAGAGTAGAGGGATGTAGACTAGAGGATTGGACCAGAGGACAGAGTAGAGGGATGTAGACTAGAGGATTGGACCAGAGGACAGACTAGAGGGATGTAGACTAGAGGATTGGACCAGGGGACAGAGTAGAGGGATGTAGACTAGAGGATTGGACCAGGGGACAGAGTAGAGGGATGTAGACTAGAGGATTGGACCAGGAGACAGAGTAGAGAGATGTAGACTAGAGGATTGGACCAGGGGACAGAGTAGAGGGATGTAGACTAGAGGATTGGACCAGGGGACAGAGTAGAGGGATGTAGACTAGGGGATTGGACCAGAGGACAGAGTAGAGGGATGTAGACTAGAGGATTGGACCAGAGGACAGAGTAGAGGGATGTAGACTAGAGGATTGGACCAGGAGACAGAGTAGAGGGATGTAGACTAGAGGATTGGACCAGGAGACAGACTAGAGGGATGTAGACTAGAGGATTGGACCAGAGGACAGAGTAGAGGGATGTAGACTAGGGGATTGGACCAGGAGACAGAGTAGAGGGATGTAGACTAGAGGATTGGACCAGAGGACAGAGTAGAGGGATGTAGACTAGAGGATTGGACCAGAGGACAGACTAGAGGGATGTAGACTAGAGGATTGGACCAGGGGACAGAGTAGAGGGATGTAGACTAGAGGATTGGACCAGGGGACAGAGTAGAGGGATGTAGACTAGAGGATTGGACCAGGAGACAGAGTAGAGAGATGTAGACTAGAGGATTGGACCAGGGGACAGAGTAGAGGGATGTAGACTAGAGGATTGGACCAGGGGACAGAGTAGAGGGATGTAGACGAGGGGATTGGACCAGAGGACAGAGTAGAGGGATGTAGACTAGAGGATTGGACCAGAGGACAGAGTAGAGGGATGTAGACTAGAGGATTGGACCAGGGGACAGAGTAGAGGGATGTAGACTAGAGGATTGGACCAGAGGACAGAGTAGAGGGATGTAGACTAGAGGATTGGACCAGAGGACAGAGTAGAGGGATGTAGAGTAGAGGATTGGACCAGGAGACAGAGTAGAGGGATGTAGACTAGAGGATTGGACCAGGAGACAGAGTAGAGGGATGTAGACTAGAGGATTGGACCAGGGGACAGAGTAGAGGGATGTAGACTAGAGGATTGGACCAGAGGACAGAGTAGAGGGATGTAGACTAGAGGATTGGACCAGAGGACAGAGTAGAGGGATGTAGACTAGAGGATTGGACCAGGGGACAGAGTAGAGGGATGTAGACTAGAGGATTGGACCAGGAGACAGAGTAGAGGGATGTAGACTAGAGGATTGGACCAGGGGACAGAGTAGAGGGATGTAGACTAGAGGATTGGACCAGAGGACAGAGCAGAGGGATGTAGACTAGAGGATTGGACCAGAGGACAGAGTAGAGGGATGTAGACTAGAGGATTGGACCAGGAGACAGAGTAGAGGGATGTAGACTAGAGGATTGGACCAGGGGACAGAGCAGAGGGATATAGACTAGACTCGAGGATTGCGTTACACTAGATTATCTGAGAGTAATAGTTGAATGACTCATTCATTTTAATGACATCTGTGAGATGATTTAAAGGTTCACCACATTTATTCTTCATCTTAAAACATTTCAGGCTGTTACATTAATGCCATTTATGACTTGAGAAATAGCTGGGGTAGGCTGTATTCACACTGACCAATGACTGCAGGACAATGTGTCTTTTTTAGTCTATACTGTAGTAATATTACACATAAATATATCTTAATTTGTAAGCATTAATTTCTCCTTATAATCGCTAACCTGTCTGCAAGTGGACATGGCTGCATCTCCAGTGAATATACTGTGTTTAATACTATACAGCGATAGCAGTGGCATAAGCTCCATGTTGTTAAATGTTAATTATACTTACCATACACTATTATGTATTTTATAAATATTCAGCAGACAACAGACCGTCTCCCACCCAGATGTATTCTACATGTAGCCTGATGTAATGACATGTTTTCCATCTTAGTCATGACCAAACAGTACATTAGCTAGTACTGTAGGCCCTTGGGGACCCAGTCATCCATATTCCATACACACATTACACAGTACTCAGACCCAAAGATCCACAGTCCTATGTAGCAGGATGTAGTGACATTCTGTCAGTATTGTCTGGTCAACGGAGCGCTGAGGCCCTGGAAGCTGATTAGTATTTCCTCAATGCTCCTGTGCAGTTTATGTGAGCCTCGGACTGGCATTTCCTACACCGTCGCTGAACTATTAATTAACCACCTACAGTTCTGTCTTGGCCTGGAGGGCTGGGTTTCAGGATAATTTATTTTGTTTTACTATTTTTTTTTTGTTGTGGTGTGTGATAATTAACAGCCTCAGTTTGTGTGCAAGTAAAGGGAGGCAGTTCAGCAGCTCTTAGGACGGGGTGGAGGAGGAGGGAGCAGGTGTTATCGAGATTTATGCGCCATCATCCTCCAGGTATTGATGAGGAACCAAGTGGAATTAAGTGTGTGTGTGTGTGTGTGTGTGTGTGTGTGTGTGTGTGTGTGTGTGTGTGTGTGTGTGTGTGTGTGTGTGTGTGTGTGTGTGTGTGTGTGTGTGTGTGTGTGTGTGTGTGTGTGTGTGTGTGTGCCCACCCAGTCAAACTGAGCAATCGGGGGAGAAGGGCCTTGGTCAGGGAGGTGACCAAGAACCCGATGGTCACTCTGACAGAGCTCCAGAGTTCCTCTGTGGAGATGGGAGAACCTTCCAGAAGGACAGCCATCTCTGCAGCACTCCACCAATCAGGCTTTTATGTTAGAGTGGCCAGACGGAAGCCACTCCTCAGTAAAAGGCACATGACAGTGCGCTTGGAGTTTGCCAAAAGGCACCTAAAGGACTTACAGACCATGAGCAACAAGATTCTCTGGTCTGATGAAAACACGATTGAAATCTTTGGCCTGAATGTCAAGTGTCACGTCTGGAGGAAACCTGGCACCATCCCTACGGTGAAGCGTGGTGGTGGCAGCATCATGCTGTGGGGATGTTTTTCAGCGGCGGGGACTGGGAAACTAGTCAGGATCGAGGGAAAGATGAACAGAGAAAAGTACAGAGAGATCCTTGATGAAAACCTGCTACAGAGCGATCAGGACCTCAGACTGGGGCAAAGGTTCACCTTCCAACAGGACAATGACCCTAAGCACACAGCCAAGACAACTCAGGAGTGGCTTCGGGACAAGTCTCTGAATGTCCTTGAGTGGCCCAGCCAGAGGCCGGACTTGAATCCCATCTAACATTACATTTACATTTTACATTTTTGTCATTTAGCAGACGCTCTTATCCAGTGAGTGCATACATTCTTTTTTTTATTCCCGGTGGGAATCGAACCCACAACCCTGGCGTTGCAAACACCATGCTCTACCAACTGAGCTACATCCCTGCCGGCCATTCCCTCCCCTACCCTGGGCCAATTGTGCACCGCCCCGATGGGTCTCCCGGGCGCGGCCGGCTACGACAGAGCCTGGATTCGAACCAGGATCTCTAATGGCACAGCTAGCACTGCGATGCAGTGCCTTAGACCACTGCGCCACTCGGGAGACACCTGGAGAGACCTGGAAATAGCTGTGCAGCGATGCTCCCCATCCAACCTGACAGAGCTTGAGAGGATCTGCAGAGAAGAATGGGAGAAAATCCCCAAATACAGGTGTGCCAAGCTTGTAGCGTCATACCCACGAAGACTTGAGGCTGTAATCGCTGCCAAATGTGCTTTAACAAAGTACTGAGTAAAGGGTCTCAATACTTATGTAAATGTGATATTTCCGGGGGGTTTTCAAAATAAATGTGCACAATTTTTGAAAGATCTGTTTTTGCTTTGTCATTATGGGATATTGTGTGTAGATTGATGAGGGAAATAA